ATATATATACTAGTTTTTTTTTGTAAACAGAAAGCGTCGCGTTTAGCGTAACTGTGGTGACCAACAGGCTTCCGTAGCAGCGTGGGGGCGTGGTCTATCAAAGTTGTTGAAAAAAGTATTGTTAATAAAAAACAGTCACAACTCTCATTAGAAAAAACGTCAAATGAAAGCCAAAGTCTTCTGTTCGCTTACGCAAAGGTAAGAAAAATAATTTGACACATTTATGTTGTTCATTTTAACTTAGACGCGCTGCAAACAGCTAAGAACTTTGTTGATATTTGTTTGCTACTGTACTGCTAAGTTAGCCGACGTGTTAGCTTAACGGCTAACTTGTGAAGCCACTACGAACGGTGTATTTCATTAATGAGTTACACGGCTAATGAAGGCACAATAACCTAAAATTTACGTCACTTAATCTGTGTGCTCAGYAAAATTCGTTTGTAATGTCCGGAGCGGGGATGCCCAAGTGTCCTGCCTCTGCGTCCAAGGGCTTCAGCTCGACCCCCGTCAAGACGAGCAACAAAGACTTCCAGAAAAACACAGGTTTGGATGATGGTGCTGTGCCCGACGACGAAGACACGTTTTCCCTGCTTTCTCCGATCTACCACGACAGCTTTGACAGTGATGATGAAGAGGAGCTGGGATCCGCTGCATCTCAGCAGACTTCACCCAGGCTCAGCAGTGATTCAAGACTTTCACCAGACAGGTAGTGATCAGCAAGCATTTCTTCTGCCTTCTGTCTGTGGTGATTTAATGTCTGTGTTTGTTAACTTTACAGGTCTGAGCTTCCAAAAACGCATTTTAAGCAGATCTTACCTGCACAGCCGGCTGCCTCACCTTCTCTCAGTGCGTGGGAAATGTGGCTGTTAAACAAAACGAAAGAGGATCGCCTTAAAATAGAAAAGAAAGCTGAAGAGGCAAGCTGTTTTTTTACGTTTACATTTTACCTTTTATTATTGTGAGTGTCRTTACTGTAACACATCTTAATCAATGCGTTTCATAATTCAGGAACGCTTACGAAAAGAAAAAAACGAACAGCAGGAAAGAGAGCGGCAGCAGAAAAGAATCATCACTGGCGAGAAGATCCAAGTGTGGCTGARAGTTAAAAGGGAGCAGGTAGAGAAATGCTTGCTTCAAATCTTAGGTTTTAGCTTTACAAAACTTTAAAACTTTGCAAATCTTTAGGAGAGGCACGAGCATCTCTTAAAACAGAGGCAAGAGGAAGAGGAGATGCAGAGGCAGCAGGAGAAGCAGAGGGAGATCGAACTGAAAGCCCAGCAAAAATACAACGACTGGTTGCAGAAGAAGAACCAAGAAAAAACAGAAAAGGAAAAGAAGGAGAAAGTAATGTATTTTTTTAAATTCATTTTTTTTTTTGTTTTTCAAGAGTGTTCAGATAAAAGGTGGTTAAACATTTTTTTTGACTGACAGGAGGAAGCTGCCCTGAAGGAGGAGCAGGAGAGGGAGCGCWGCCGGAGGGCAGAAGAAAAGTTTAAGGAGTGGCTGACGAAGGCCAAGGAAAAAGGCAGAGCTTGTCCCAAATCGCCTCGCTACCCTACAAGTAAGGTCAACTCAGCAGCTACTGAATTAATAACTTCAAACGGTTAATAAATTATAAAATGTGCATTAACTCTATCCAGCAGCTTTTAATCTTCTGAACACACATGGTTAACTCAGTAACACTACGGTTATGTGCAATAATGTTCACTTGACACTTAGATATGGCCTACTGTTGTTTTTTACATTTTTTATGTTACTTTTTTATTCTGTTTTTACCWCTTTATTTTATCTTTTTTAATGTTCTGATTTATTTGCACTATTGGAACTGCAAAATTGTTTCAAAATCTTATCTTAATGCTCCGATGGAATACATTTTCTTTGTTATTTATAAGTGATGGTTTTCCTACAGGTCCCTATGACAATTCATACCCAGCACCCAGCTTCTACAACCCGGTCCCCTGGAAGCCGATTCACGTTCCTCCTCCAGAAACATCCCCAAACAAGGCGGCAGGCAAGAAACCTCCAAAGCAGAGGAAAAACCATCAGAGCCCCTGCACTGACGTTAGACTCAGAAACCCTGTGAGTGCAGCACATTGTCTGCAGAGGAGATGACACCAACAGGTGGAGGTGATACAKAGAGCTTCAGCAGTGATGACACCATGACTCATCAACACCAGCTCAGCTCTGGAGCCAAATCTCTGCTGAGTCATGGAAAAGACTTGTGTTATAGTAAAGACTGGCTAATGTATTAATACTTTAGCTTGTCATGTATTTACACTGCATTGCAAGAGATTTTATTAAACTGATATTTGAATTTGCTTTTATCTAGTTTAAATTCTGGAGTATTTTATGTATTTGTTTTAAAATATAGTTTATTATTATTATTATTTACCCTGATCTCAGTGGTCAACAGAACCACAGTTATTTTAATGGGTCAGCCACCACGCCAGAGAAAGAAGGTAATCTGCTGGTCACAGCCAAAGATAGACCCAGCTCGCTCCAGTGCCCCTCACACTCACGCATTGTTCTGAGTCCAGCTGTGCCTTGTTCTCCTGTGGGCTGAGATGACGACAGAAACGAGTGTGGGGGGKGCGGAAGGAGAGCGACGGATCCAGAGCGGTACGCTCATTCTGGGTTAACATCTCACTGTGAGGCCCACGTGTGAAGCCTGAGGTAAATACAGTTTTACATTTTTAAATACTGCTGATGTCATTTTCCTGCTTTTGTTTTATTATTCTATAATTAACCTATGTTGTAAACACCTGTGGAGTGACAAAACTCAGGCAGGAAGTTTGTAATGTCAAAAAAGAAGGGAAAAAAAAGTTTACATTTGGTTTGTTTATGATTTTTTTAGCAGGATCAGTTGAAGCTTTTTGCTCAAGGCTATTTGCAAACTGAGCCTTTTAAATCTGTCACTTATGAAAGTTTCAAAACAAAAGTGTCCTTCGGCTCTTTGTGTCCTTATTTGCGAGGTGTCGGCAGTTTGTTTGTACAGCAGCAGATTGCTTCTGGGTATTACTCAAGTCTCAGGTCACTGATTTTTACATCTGCCTMTTCCAGGTATTGCGTCCTGTTCCTGAGCGGAGAACCAATATCCCAAGATGCAGTGGTGCAAGTGGGCTGGCAGTTGGAGGACACACTTGCTAAGACAGGTAGGAGGTGTGTCTTCAAACTGCCCCAGAATGAAAGGAGGTGCTGCTGCGACGAGCGACGGTCTAAAGGGCAGAAGCACAGACGTCTGCTTGGACTGCATGAACATGCCTGATAGTGCAGCGTAGAGAAACTGATCATAAACTGTTTTTTAACTTTGCTAGATAAAAAGGAGTATAAATGTGTTTGCTGGTGGATAATTAAGCTCAGTWTTTTATGAGGTGTGTCATTTTAACCTCTTGAATGGAGGTTAARTTGCAGAAGACTGAAGATTTAACTGACTTTTTTTTTTAACCTGAAACAACCACATTAGCTGGGACCTTATTTCTTGATACGTTGTGGGTCATGTAAATCTTGCTTTCTTCTGGTCTCACAAGGATGTGTCTKCAGTTTTGTGTAAATAGTCGGTTGTATTGACACAACCTGAAGGAAACCAGTTCTGCTGCAGAGGAGCACGGAGCTCTTTGATCATAAAGTTCAACCTCAGTGTTTTTTGTCGTCATGCAGCCTGCTGGACCAGAGGCTGAGGATTCTTTCGACTTTCTGTTTAAAATCATCTTGGTCGGGGATTCGGACGTGGGTAAGACCTGCATGGTGCAGAGCTTTGAGTCTGGTATATTTATCGAGAAGCAACAGAACACCATCGGGGTTGACTTCACGGTCCGTACCCTGGATATTGATGGCAAGAAGGTGAAGGTAGGCTTTTAATCTTAATTCCCCCTTTTTGAAATCCTTTCCACGTGAAGTTAAACAGCGTGTGCGAACATACTGGGTTCAAGAGCCCAGTTGGGCCTGGGGTCTTTGCATGTTCTCTTCATGCTTGCGTAGGTTTTTCTGGTTTCCAAAAAACATGCATGTTTAGGCTGCCTTCACTCAGGCCTCCCTTGAAAAGGAGGTCTGTGATCTCAAAGGGATTTACCTGGTTAATATGTAAAAGCAATAACAATCATTACAGTGTTTTTGCTTTTTTATAATGTGAAATACATGAATTTTTAACACTTGTATTCTCATTGTCAGTCTTTGAAAAATTAATATTTCTTGTGTTTAAAGTTTGTGTTGATTTGCTAAGTTTAATTGGCAAAACATCCATTTAAAGGGGCAATATTATGTGTTTCTTAGGAATATATTTAAATTCCATATCATGATAAAGTAAAAATGTCACCTTCAGTTGTTATTAATATGTTGTTTATATGTTTAAATAGAAAATAAACTTGACTTCTCATCATATCTGTTTCTAAACACCTTGAAATTGGCCTCTGTCTCTAAGAACCTCCTTCCGCATCTGTCCCGCCCATTTCAGCACAGGGCTGGGTGTGTGTGCTCTGTGATGAGGAAGCTCGGCTTCACAGAGGAGGAGCTGATCCTAAAACGTGGTTCTAAGCCCAACCTGTCATTTTTGCTCCCCTGCCTGGCTGCCTCAGGACACTACACAGGATTTCTCAAACATGCATGAATGAGTCAAAGCAAGACCCTGGGCATGTTTTTGATGAGAGGATAACATTATAACATGATATACATCTCAAAAAAGTTAATTTAACATGATATTGCCCCTTTAAAAAAGGATTAATACCCTTTATAGCACACAGCACGTCTGTTTTACCTGTATACAAAGTAATCCCCCACCGTGTAACCCGTTAACCCTCGCACCTGTGTGTTGCTCATTATTTCAGATGCAGGTGTGGGACACCGCTGGACAGGAGCGTTTCCGCACCATAACGCAAAGCTACTACCGCAGCGCCCACGGGGCGATGGTGGCCTACGACATCAGCCGCCGCGGCACTTTTGAGTCCATTTCTCACTGGATCAGGGAGGTGGAGCAGTACGGAGCAGCTAATGTGGTGGTCATACTTGTGGGTAAGAAATGTAAAAACATTAGTGTGTCATCTTTGGAGACTTGGCTTTAAAGTGCCTGTTACATGCATATCCTTCAAATAGAAAAAGTCAAAGAAAACATCATTCTTAAGAAAATTGGCATCGTACACATGATTTTACACATTTTGTCTCATAACTAGCCTATTTTCTTTTGGATTTGGCTCAGACAAACTGAAACAGGAAGTGACATCAAAGGTGAACTCTAATAAAATAAACTTTCTGGTCTCTGTTTATTAAAACAATATTATTTAAACTTTTAACTCTTCATCTCTCTTTGATGGTGACTCAAAAATAATCTAAAGAAACCAGATTATTCTCCACAGTCTCTGTTGTAACAAYGCTTTGTTTACATGCAGACATTCCCCTTTGACATCACTTCCTGTTCCTTCACATGCAAATATCTCAACAACTGTTCATCTCAGTGGCGTGAAATTTGTTTTGCAGTATTTTAACAATGTTCTCTTTTCAAAAATGCATTCATGTTTATTACAGAAAAATGATGTCACAGGCACTTTAAAGGATGCTGTGAAAAAAAWATATTTTTTGATATTCAGTTATTTTCGAATTTCCTGTTGCAGCATCTTTCACCATCTCCTGTCCTGCAGGTAATAAATCGGACCTACACACTCAGAGACAGGTGCTGTTCGAGGACGCGTGCACTCTGGCAGAAAAGAACTCTCTCCTGGCTGCTCTAGAAACTTCGGCCAAGGAGGCCCAGAACATAGACGCTGCCTTCATCCTCATGGCCCGGGAACTGTTGGCGCGTAACGGCATGACTATCCCCGAGCAGACCTCTCAGTGCTCGCCAAAGTTCACGTTGAGCGAGGGCTGTCGGCCGGTATACAGCGCTGTGGTGTCTCCGGATAAAAAGTGTGAATGCTGAACAGACCGAGCCATCAGTTTAGTGTGGAAACAAAGCTTTGTACTGTTTTTTCACTTAGTATTTATAGTTTGTGGTAATCTGTAATAGATGTTTGGCAATGATTTATCAACCCTCCTTTTGTAATATTCCTTTGTGCTGAACGTGACAAGCCACACCTTTGCTGAAGGACTCTGTACTAAAACTCCAACACATTCACTCAATACGCAACCTGAAGGGTGTTCATTTTTTATTGTTGCTTTACAAATATTGTTTATACAATACACCACTTTCATGGCTTCCAGCTGGACTTTTATGCCACCTTCAAATCACACATTGTTAAACTGGTTTCTATAATAAAACTTTTACTGGTGCTGTGTTGAGCAATACCATCAAATACAGTCATTTATATTAGTCTTAGGATTTCTACACCTATAACCACATCATAGAAAAATAACACCTTTTTTCTATAATAGTGTATTTCTTTGCAATAAAACATTAGAAAATAAAATTATTTAACTTGTAATTGCACTTTGTAGGGACTCAACTCATGACCATTCAATATGTTAAATGAAAACAGGCTGAAATTTAACAGTAAACTATTAAGACACACTGAGGGCCTTTTACTTTGAATGTTAGGACCGATCTGGACCACTGTGTTACATAATAACCATTTCCTTAAGTGCTCTTTTTTTTTACTTGTGCCTTTGTAGAGCAACTTCAACACTGTCCATTGAACAATATGGACACTTTATAAAAAGATTTGAAAGCATATACGATATAAAATGTGTGCTTTAAAGGACATTAGAAAGTTTGTATGGATAGTGCAAAGGTAAAAGGTTACAGTGAAATATTGGCTGTTTTTATAAAAACTTTTTTTAAACTACATTAAAACATAAAACGTACAGTACCACAYGTGACTGACTTTGTAACTCTTCATAACTTCAGCGCTATAATTGCACATTTCTGCTTTTTGCTCGATCATGCAGCAACTACCACCCTGCCCTTTGAAGATTACTAAAAGCATTCATAAAACCTTCGGGTACTTTGTTTAGATAAAAAAACAGATCTTAAAGGGATCCCCAATTAGTTGTAACATTAGACTTTAATAAACATATATTTTCACTGTAAAATAAAGGCTGTAAAAATACTGTATGATGTTTAGTTTTTATCATTTTTAAACTAAAAGTTTAAAAATATAGTACACGGACAGGGCCATTTTATTTACATTCAAAGCATTCTGGGAAAATGAAGATGTCAACTAGGTCCTCGGTGCAAGACTGCTAGCAAGCTATATCCACCCTGAAGGATAATCTTGGACAATATCTGATGATCGACTCTTTTAAATGAAACCAGTGTTGACAGAGAGGAGAAGGTAGAAATGATTCAGCTTGTAACTGAAAATAAGGATGGAGGACCTCAGTTTAGCTTGCTCATCGTGCTAGCACCGAGCTAATACATATAAGGCAATATAGCATCAGTGCTAGCACAAAGGCTAACAGGCTGAGCTGAGGTTCTTCTTCCATGAAGCAGCTGTCGTCCTCCATCCATATTTTCAGTTCCAGGCTGAGTCATTTCTACCTTCTCCTCTCTGTCAACGCTCTCTGGTTTCATTTAAAAGAGTCGATCATCAGATATTGTCCAAGATTAACCTTCAGGGTGGATATAGCTCGCTAGCAGCCTCGTACCAATGACCTACCCACGTCATCATTTACCCAGAATGCTTTGCATGTAAATAAAATGGCTCCGTGTTAAAATATATTTTTAAAAATGTACAAAACTAAACAGCCTACAGTATTTTTACAGTCATTATTTTACAGTTAAAATATATGTTCATCAAATAAAGTCTAATGTTACAACTAATCGGGGATTCCTTTAAAGAAGACTCGAGTTTTGAAAGGCTGCTGGTTCTACACCAGAGGCCAGCCTTCCTGCTGGAACACCATCTCCACCGCCTCCTTTACGTCATGCACCACGAAGGATGGCTGCATGAGCGTCGGGTCGAAGCGGAAGTCCCGGTGGCCGTGGAAGATGTGCTGCTCCGTGACGGTCTGCGTCGGGTCCAAYGGCAGCTCCCGCTGGTCCCTGCTGTACACGCCCGTGCACACCAGGACGGAGCTGCACCCCTCAGGGAGGTCCTCCTTTGAGCCGTACACGTCCGCCGCTCCACCTAGTTCTGTTGACGTCATCTCGGCTTCTTCCGTGCGATCCATGGCTTGTACRCCACTGCTGGCCTGCATTTTGGCTTTGGCGTGGTGAGAGGCCTGAAGGAAGCGATCGTAGAGGTTAGCGCCGTAAACGTCAGCCATGGGGTTATCGCTGAAAGAAAAAGGAAAAGTGGGACAATACATTAAAAAGATTGCATCCACTGCAAATTTTAACAAAACACTTAGAAAWTTAGATGTGCAKCTGCRTTTGATTAAMTTTAGAGTCAACCAATTACAAGGTCTCAATCACTCACCCTATAGCATATAGTCTCTTCACAGGTGTGGTCCAACCAAGATTCTCAGCCTGCTGTCTAATCAGCAGCTCAGCGTAGTTATAGGTCACCACGCTCGGTTTGCCGATCAGAGCCTCGTACTTCAGCTCGTAGCCTGTCACCTTCTTGTACAAGTTCTCTAAGCAGACCAGGAACATCCCGTGACCAAACCTGAAACAAGCGGCAAACACGTTCAGAAGAACAGCTCTGAGCGTTTTTAAAGGGATCCCTGATTAGTTGTAACATTAGACTTTATTTGATAAACATACATTTTAACTAAAATAAAGACTGTAAAAATACTGTACGCTGTTTAGTTTTGTAAAGTTTTAAAAATATATTTTAACACGGACGGAGCCATTTTATTTATACGCAAAGCATTCTGGGTAAATGATGACGTGTATAGGTCCTCGGTGTGAGCGAG